TTGCATTTGTTAAAACCTGTTCTCAGTCAGTGCAGCAATTAAAATAGTTTTGAGGGTTTTCAATAGCTCAGCTAATTGCCGTGCTGCTCGGAGGTTTTGGAGACATTCAGCCTCCTCTCCCCTTTGTGCGCACACAAGACTAGATCAGAAACTGTCTCTGATAAGGGTTTTAAACTTCTTGACTTTGCCAATGGCATTTTCTCCATCAGAGCGGCAGTTGACATTTATATCCAGCCCTCCAAGTGCCCCAAATACCCTTTACATTCCATTGTTCTGTGGTTGAAAATAAAGAGGTTATGTCTCATACTGACCGACGGTAGGTCCATTGATGGTGACTTCAAGGTCCCCTCAGCAGTCCCTCTACAAAGAAAGCTTCCAAATAGAGCAAATGTTTAACAAAAGTAAATGCCACATAAATATCACGTCTTAATGTTTTACCTTGTGGACTTATGAAAATTTGGGATTTCACAAAGCTGTCAGTATTAGAAGACAAAACAAGATGCGCCTCCCTCTTTCAAACACACAATCAGTAAAGAAAAAAAGTGTTGTCACTTCCTGATACAAAAAATGGATTAGAGAGGAACAGATAACAGCATCACACAGCATGGAAATGGCATGTTATGGTCGGTTTAACACGTGTCTTGAGGTGATTTTCTGAGCCTCTATTTGGTATTTTACAATAACTGTGAATTGCTACTTAGGTCCGTCTGCGTTCTTTTTGTAAGATGTTGAAAAGATGAGCATGAAAGAAAGAACTTTTTACAGTCACAATCAAACTGTGTAAAATGATGAATGAAAGTTTACAGGCATCTTGATTTAAAGAGTTTATTACTGTAATCAAATCCAAAGAAAAATAAAAACCCAACTCTCACTGCCAAGCTCACGCTGTGTTCTTAAAACACAAATCTTCCAAAAATTAATCACAAATGTATACTTGAGACATTTCACTCAAAGCTACAAACGTTAACGTCATAAAAGGTTAGGGAGTTGGTAAAACGTTTGTGGCAGTTGTTAAATAGTACATTTGTTGAGGACTAATTCCAGCCGTGGATTATCACCCATTGCAAAAGTGTGTGATGTGTTTTTGAACTCAGTGGAATAACATATAGCAAGTTTTGATTGTTAGCAGGATAAATGAATTGCGGTTTTGGTCTTTGCATAGGATTTGTCAACAATAAGAAACATGAGGAACAGTGCCAGACTTTTCCTTTGAGACAGTCACGGACCGAAACAGAACTGTAAGAATACAATAACAAAAATGGATGCACAGACAAATGGACCAGATTTAGATTTCCCATGCCAGCCTTGTCAGTGACCACTTTTTTGGGTTGTTTTTATTCGCAGTGAGAAATGAGACAGTAAGAGTTGCATCAGCAGGCTGGAAAGCAGTGAACTCTTACAGGTGTTTCTAAAGCAGGCGAGTGCAATGCTGTGCTCCTGATGGCTCTACAACAAAAAGGTCTAACTTTAAACTGAATGTCGGCCATGCTCATCATCTCTTGCTGTGCTGTGATCTTTTGACTTTTTCTGAACACTTACAAAAAGTCAATCCACCACCACCACAACCTCCCACTTCCCAACTCCATCCCCCATTGCTGTTCGTTTTCCCAACACTTGTACATCGGACACCTCCCCCCTACAGATTTCATATAAGATAATCTGTTTGATGAATGTATTACTGAAGTCAGGCCAACTTAATATGTTTGATCAGGGACTGGTTGCAATATTCACACGTGGTGGAGGATAAAGAGAGGATGAGAAGAGGAGGGGGGAGGCAAGATGAAGGGATTATATTTCTTGGGTGAAGTTTTACTTTGGTCGCCAGGGACAAGAACAGGTGATTATGAGAAGCGCTTTGAATCTAAGCCACACATGGCTGTCTTGGGGACGTGAATGCCTTAATACCATTTTGAGAGCATAGTTTAGAAGTCGGTTGCTGCATATTGTAGGAATTCCATGGAAAATACTTTAAATGCATTTTAATTTTGAGTCCCATGCTCCTGTGGGCCCCCCCTGGCTCACACTACATGAATAGAACATCAAGACATTAAATCCTGAGCATCTGTGTGATGAGGAGACCAGTCCGGTTCAGCCGCATTTGTGTGATATTCGCTCAGACTCCTCGGCCCGCGTCCTGAGGGGTTGGCAGTGCCCAAGAAATCCTGCACAAGAGTTTACAGCCATGATTTACCACAGGGGTTAAGTTATCAGCACAAATCATCCCCTTTTTCATTTGCAGAAACAGTCCTGCAGACATGATTTACAAGTACAGTAGCTGCAGACATGAAATCCAAGGGCGACTCAGAGCTGCAAATCACACCGGCTTTGCCTCTCTATTCAAGGCGTCCTATTGGTGTCAAGGAAATGGACATATTCTCAATCTGAAGTTGCAAATTACAACATTTTTTCAGCTGTAATGAGTATTATACTAGTTATAGTATTACAGTGTCATCTGTAAGTGGGAACTAGGACAGTGTGTCACATCTCCCAGAGAAAAAGAAAGACGGGAAAATCCTCTCACCGTACTGTAAGCATGATTGAGCACCAGCTAAGCAACTGCTCCCCTCTTGACATTGCTCTCTATCTTGTCATTTTCAAGTATAAACATCATTCTGCAGTCAAAACTGTGTGGCAGCAGTAGACACTCACTGTGAGCTGCCTCAGTGGATGTCTTTACATCTTTCTGTATTCCTCCCCATCAGGGAGGCAGTGGTTTATAAAAATACAGGTTGACTCTGGAGTCGGAGCAGAGAAGGCTGGCAAAACACAAAAACACACAAAAAAGCAACTGCTCACAGAATAGTGCAACGGATTTATATTTATGAGTCATTTTTATTATTTCCATGGCTTTGTTACCCATATCAGTGTCAGCCTTTTTACTATTAACTATTACTATTATATAGAGCTCTGTAATTAGGTTCAGCTGTGTGGTTGTTTTTTTCATTCAGCAACACAATTTCCCCTGCTGCCGTAGGGAGAAAAAAAAACCATTTTGTTTATTTGAGAATCTAATGGACTTGTGTAGCGAAATAGAACCAGCTGCTTATGCCTGGACATGAAAGTCATAACGGATAAAGAAGGATCAGATATGAACTCACCGATCGATTCATTAGGGACCCCATGAGGCTGGGTTACAGTCAGACGAAGCGCCTTATGATAAAAGGTAAATAATGAAAATGGCCTTTTAGCACCAGGAACTCGCCATAGCTTGCCCTATTACTGTAAACCAGACATGATATCCTTTTTCACTACTCTCTCCTTATTGGAGATGATTAGTAGATGAATACATGAGGTAATTTGCATCAGTGGTATATATATATATATATATATATCTCCTCCAGTCTGCATGTCAAAGTTCAGATTTAATGTTATTTAAAGACCAGATTTTAAATTTGTATCCTAAGCATTAAGTTAAAACAGGTTTTTGAGAGCAGAGTTGTTTCTTTTTGAAGTGCTGCTCCTGCTGTCTGATGCTGGTTCCGTCCATCTGGCCACAGCCGGTCATTCCTGCATTGCCATGGGTCATCACAAATCACTGCCACGCCACATCCACAACAGCACAGAGACCTCGGGACAGAAAATCAATGGGCTCTCATGGGCTACTCCATCAGTTCAAATATCTGGAACTTGATGGTGCAGAGTAACTGGGGGAGGGGGAAAATTTGCAGGATGGAGGGCGGGATGGAAGCAGGCTTGAGGGCCATACATGTGAGGTTGGATGGACATACCGGATAGTTAAAGATGGGAGTGTGCCGTGGCTGTGAGCAAAACTGGTACGAAAGACGGAGAGAGAGACTGCAAATGCTGGGTATCATTTGACTTTTTTTGGTAATACCAGTGCCACAATCACACCTGAGTAATGTTACCAATACAAAACAGATATTTAAAAAAAAAAAAAAAACACTTTAGCACAGAGAGTTGAAGGGGAGGCGTGCAGTCAGAGACAGATAAATGTGGTAGGTTGTAAATTAGATCAGGAAATATTTGATCAAATGATAAGTAAAGAAAAGTTCTATTTTCCAACTCCATACAGCATATGCCTCCCACTAATTGCCTTAGTATACCGTTTTTTGCAGCAGTAACATTTTGTACTAACAGGAACTTATGCATTATGTGCACACAGAGGATATCAATCAAACTGCAGTGTTGAAATGCCACTGCCAATTACACTTCACAAAGAGAAAGCAATATCGTTTTCAAGATCTTCCTCAAGCTGTGTCTCCACCATCCACAATTAGTTTTAATGTTTTGCAGCAGGGAGTAGCTCCTACTTTTCCTTTGTGCATTGCATCGAAGGATTAAAGTGCATATTAACAGCCCTCGATGTCTGTGATTCTATCACTTTTGCACTGTGATATACTCAAAACCGGATTAGAATTACTGTTTGGAGCATGAAATTGGGCCTGACCTGGCATTTGATGCAAACTTTTCATACCTGACAGTATTGAAGCATATAAGGCGATTGGAATGAAGCAGAAAGGGATGCAGGAAGGAGACGGGAGATTGAGTCATAAGTGGAAAAAACTAAATCAAAAGACCTACAAATTGAGAGAAAGAGGAAAACAGATTGAAAAGGCACATTGAAAAGGCTCGAAGGCTGGAGGGAATGCGGACAAGACTGATAAGCAAGTGACTCAGAAAGACGCAAGTGTTTTGAATTGGGTCTAACGAATTCTTTCATATAAGAGCAGCGGCTCATGAAGGTGATATCATTTGGAAATGTCTCCAACAAACCATTTAACATTCACTGCAAGAAGTGACTGTAGATATGATTGCCTCAGGTTGCAGGCAATGCATGCAAATGTTATGTTAAATGAGTTATTCCCTCCAATTTTTCCTCATTCTGCTCTTTGATTTCACGCCTGGCTCAGGTTTTGTTGATAGGGTTTTGACAATGAATCTTCACCAAGAAGCCATAAGTACCATGATGCATGACCAGAAGTCCAGGTGTTTTCACCTCTGTTGTTGAAACTGACTCCTTTTTGTGTCTTTTGTTTCAGTGGTGGATAGCAAGGTGATCCTGGAGGGCCTGCAGAGGTATGGCCCCACGCCAATCTATCTGCCTGTCAGCTACCGGATCCTCAATGCTGAGTCAGCGTTCTTCCTACAGGAGGCAAACCAGGACTTAATGAGGAACTCCAGCCTGCAGGCTCGCACTGAGTCCTTCTTCATCCACCAGGCCCGGCAGATGCCCTTCATCAATGCTAGCTACGGGCCGCTGTCTGTCCAGCAGCCCGTCCCTCTGGAGCTGCTGCAGACCGTCCCGGGGCCATTTAACACCCCCCCCTTCACGACGTCATCAGTGGCGACATCGGCATTATCATCGCCTCTCTTCACATTCAACTGGAAGGTCCATACCTATATTATCAGTGAGAGGATTCACCCCAGTTGGCCAAAGGTTCAGGTGTTGTTCTACATTGCAGGGAGGGACTGGGATGACTACAGCGCCATCCACAAGCTGCCCTGCGTCCGGATGTTCGCCTTCCACGAGACTCAAGAAGTGCGCGGAACATGCAGGCTAAAAGGCGAGCTGGGGATATGTGTTGCCGAGCTGGAGCCCCTCGCCAGCTGGTTCAGCCTGCCCACTGTTAGACCGGGAAGGCAGAGGGTCTCTGAGCAGGCCCAGGGCACTCCTGTGGAGCTCTACTACATGGTTCAAACCACGGAGAGCGGAGACTGCAGCTCGGAGGATTCAAGAAAGGGCAGCTCCGGTCACGCAGACCAGCAGAGGCCGATGGGCTACTTCGCAGGGCACACACCTATGCAGCGCATTGGGAGCGTCAGGCTGTTTCAGCCGCTGGCGGAGCTAAAGCTGGACAATAACTTTGTGGTGATGGCCCCCTCCAAACCCATCCGGCAGAGAGAGACAGTCACCACTTTTCTGGCTCTGTCCACGCTTTCTTCAGTGCCAATCTTCACCCTCAGGTGAGTCAGCCTCCTCCTGGGAGAACACAGTTCACTCTGCCGCTCTACTGATTATCTCTCACTCTCTAAACTCAGTTAAACAGACAACATTGGGCATAAAAGAAGTTTAAAAAAGGCATTGGCTGACTGTTAGAGAAAGCAGCAGAGATAGATAACACTTCACAACCACAAATTTGACAATGCATGTTTGTGTAAAATTGTGCCAAGGCATGCAACAGGAGGAAATTATTCATCATTGTTTCCCTGAGTCACACACTGAAATGAATTTGTCGGCAATACAGTTACAGCACTACCATGTATTTACTACACTACACTGTTGTGGTTTGGAAACATTACTTTTACAGCTTGTTTAATCAAAATACTCTGCAGTTGGCAAAATCAGGGATTATTTTCTGGCGTTAGAGATTTTAAAATGTGTGTATGATAAGCCTTTGATTTGCCACACCAGACTCCAGTGCACAGACAATGTTGCCATGACACTACTAGTCAACTGCCCAGCATCAGTTACATCATTAATCCTGTTTATTTAGGTCATTTGTCTACCCATTAGAAAAACATGATATCGCAAATGAAAAACATAATATCACAAATGAAAAGACAGTGGTAAGCAAGCCTTCCCTCGTGTGATCAATTACCTTGCCTTATTGTGGGAAACAACACAGACAGACAACACTCTCAGATGTTTTTTCCTGCTTTGCTCTTGCAGAGTAAATTTTCATTTCAGCTGGCAGGTGTTTTTTGTGAAGTCACATTGTTTCAGTGACAAAGAAAGAGCTCGCCGCATGAAAGTGGAAGCACAAGCTGTTTCACGATGTTCAACTTAAGCAAAAAGCTAAAAAAAATGAAAGCAAAAGATAGTTCATTTATGGTACTATTTTGTCTGTTTACAGTTAAGGTCTCATGTTTATCGTTTGGTACCACCCTGGCTTACACAAAATTATAATCTTCTATAATCTGAATACCGCTAAAGATTAAATATATATATATATATATATATATATATTTTAATTGCAATGGCTAAAGTGCTTTACAGAGAAGGTTTGTTCGTGTTTATTGTAACCTTCCAAGTCATTTTGGATAAACATTACAGATATTTTGTTGTGGTTAACACCTTCCAAGCTGCCTTTTTGACACACCGGAGGGGATTGTTTTGACTGGATGACACCTTAATTATACCCCTGCGCGTTGTATAAAGATTGTTTTCATGTACTCACCTTCAAAATTGCCTGTCTGAGGAAAATGTGTATCTGAGGTGTTTCCACCTAACAATAACAAGGTATAATATTTGATTCATTGAGCTTTGTCTCACACAAATTACCGTTCAAAGTGACTACAATTGCTCCTTGTTGTGTGATGCAAATTAAGATGTAAGGAATATGCATTCCACGGGTTGTTTTAATGCCGGAGATCTAAATCATGGCAGATGAAGCAGTTAGCAGCCTCAAAGTGGAGCTGTGACAGAGAGCCCTGGCAATTTGTCAACCCTGGGTGAGCAGGAAATCTGCCAAAAAGCCTCATTGCTTTTCCTCATGCTCAAGTGATGATGAACTCCCATGAAGTATTAGCGCTCGCAGTGTGTGTTTATCACATTTGTCAGCATGTGTGTAAATGGGAACTTTAAAGGCGGTATTTTTCTCTCAGTGGCATTTTGCACCAGTGTTGCACCCCGATCCTTCAGAAGTTCATCTTTTTTATGTTTTCCGTTGGGATGGGACTTCAAATTCAACCAAAAAAATACCTCATTAGCAACCAAAAGATTAAACCTCAAAGTGATGGAAAATCACTTGCTAATTTACAGCACTTGATTGCCAGTTTACCAGGCTCTGTAATTGAACACCCGGACACTGATGATTAATCTCGCCTCCACTTTGTTGTACATTGCTTTTATGTTACTGGTGTGGTGCTGTTCAATGTGTTTTTCTCTTAGATGTTGGATTTCCTAATGATAAAGAAAAACTTTACTTAAAGCACTTGATATTCCCATGATGGCGGTGTGAATTCACATTCTGATCACAGGAGGTGGGGGCTGGAGGATGTGCGAGAGTGTGTGGATCTTTGTTCAAGACAGCCGTTCGGACTTGGTGTGTGGAACGCTGTACGTGTTTGCATACTGTCGCCCAGTGATTGCCTATTCACTGAGTGTGGGTGTGTGTTTATGGACAGTTTACTTTACAAGTCGCTCTTGTGAGTTTCTCCAAGTGGCAAAGGCATCATTAACTATTTATGTTCCCTGGAGTTACTCTCTTCTCCTCCCCATTATCTTTTATCCCCCCCCCCCGATCCATCTCCTCCCCTCTCCTCCAACACAGTCTAACTCGTGACAAAAGAATATTGAGAATCTCCCTGGACGTCCTTTCTTCCAACATGTGCTGTCAGCTGGAATAAGTAGATTCTCTTCACTCTAGATTTGACTCCTTTTACTTTTTTCAGCACTTTTTTGAAAGGACTGTAAAACTCTTCAGGACATTGTGAGAATAATCGTGTGCCACCTTTGACCTCACCATATACGATCAGCAGCAGCTTACACGCACCATTAAATTCAGTTGGATTACCCATCCATCTTTTGGGTCAGAGTGGTTAGAGAACATCTTGCGATGGGATCACACCAGCAGTGGCGCCAAATTGAGCCAGGGGTGAAAAGTGGGGGGTGCTATCCAGCGTGCAGTGGCAAAAAAGTCGACTTTCATTTTGATTCAAACTGCACACCTGTAAAGTTTCATGACTGTATCTTATGCAACTGCAAAGCTATCGCACTGACAAAAATCTGTCCACAGACAGACAGAAATAGAAACAGCTGGCAAAGTACTCAAAAGTTCCTGCTACAGAGGGTGTCTCCGGGATCACATTTTTGCCACGATGACTCACACACAGACCTACAAGGGGAATAACTATCGCGGCTGGTAGATACACCAGTAGATCTCAGTGTGCTATATTAAATCCTGTGCAGAAAGGTGATATATTGTAGTCATATTATACACAAAAGTGGAGGTGAACAAATTGTTTGGTAAGAGTAAAGCTACTTTAATTTTTCAGTTAATAAAAACATATGTTTTGTGCTCCAATGTTGTTGAGGACTTTAACCTGTTGATCAAACTGATCACAAAATACTCAGCTTTTAATTTTTTTCGAGAAATCAGGTTGCTGCAAAACATGTACATTAAACCTCCAATATGACAAATAACCGACTGCCAATGCGAATGTTATGTTGGCCGTTTGTCCATCATGATTCCATACTATACTGACAAATAGAGAGAAGTCATGCCAACATATTCAGTAAATGTGTCCTTTAATCTTTAAATCTAGATTATGAAATTACCTGCCATCACATCACTTCCAACCAATTACAAATGAAGTAGGAATAATTTATGTGAGTGATAGCATTTAAAATATGTCCTTTAGTTGTCATACATTCCCATGCCCAGTCAGCGTCTGTACCTTAGTTGCACAGCACAATCAGCACACTTAAGCAAAGGGCTCTTTTATTGGCTATTTTCTCTCTCGCCCTCGTCGGCTGTATTTGATCTAATCCAAACTAATCAAATTATTTTGCATGTAATTGCAGGCTGTTAACCCTAGCCGCTGGAAAAACACACAGACATTTGTGCGCACACAGAGTCATGAATATTCACGTATACAATCACATGTGCGCACACAGATACACAGACACTCACACACGTACATTGCATTGGACCTGCCCTGAGCCAACTGTAAAGTCATGGCGTGTTTGTCATGCGATGGGCTCCCAGTGGAATCAGTAATTCCCTGCCTCATTAGCCGTGGAGAGAGTGGTGTAACAGGTCGGAAAAGGGTTCTCGGCTACTCCTTATTCAACATGCAAATGAAAACACCGTTTCCTCCTGAACAAATTAACAGGCTTTTCAAAAGATAAACTGCCCCAGCTGTATTGTAATTTTAACTAAACCCCCCGAGGGCAGTGTTGCTGATGAATGCAAATTAATTTCTAATATCTGAGAGTGCGAAGGTATGAGTACGAGGTTCTTCTTACCGTGCCAGCGCAAACAGTCAGCAAGAGTGGTGTGTTTATTCAGAGGTTTAGCATGTTCAGTGTTGGGGCTATAAATAAAGAAGGACATTCAAGATGAGGCCGGTTTGGAGTTCCTCAGACATGATGCAGTGCTTCGTGTCAGCTTAGTCCGATCCTTAACAGAGTTCAGGATCACAGGTGGTGGGCTTTGCCTGTTTGTTACTGCCCGTTGTTTGGCGAAATATCAGCAGGAGAAAAGGTTGGAATAAAGATGTTCTCCTCAGTGTATTAGCCTTATCTCAACCTCACCCCTCTGTGAATTCGTTCTTGTTGAAAGGTCACCCAAGATTTCTTTTCCATTTATATTTCTGTTCTTATCTGTACTTTTCCTTGCTCTCTCTCTCTCTCTCTCTCTCTCTCTCTCTCTCTCTCTCTCTCTCATACTCTTGCTTTGACATGTTTTTCCTCTTTGTGCTGAAACATTAGCAAAAGAATCCCTTTGTTTTTCTAGATTTAAATATCAGGAAGACTCTTGCCCTAAATTCAAAGTAAATACTGATTCAATGTACCCGGCCCTTCTGTAACCATATCCACCTTTCAGTTGTTGTTGTTTTTTTAATTTTTTTTAAGCTAGCCTGCTCACCAGTGTTTACTTTGAAAACCCAGCTTTTCCTCATCCATTTATAATAAGTAATTAGTCATTTGAGGCCTGGGGAGACGGTTCACTATTTAGATATTACTCTCTATTGGGCCTTGCCACCAGTTGCCCACAGCAAGTGATTTTAATCCTTGTATCTTCTACCATAATGTTTTCCCATCACTTTCCTCCACTTGAAACTGATGAATTTATTGGACACTGAAAGCCCAGAATGTTGGCTGTCTTCCGTTTTTCGTTGCTCTGTCCATCTGCCTTTGGAAAAGGCTACAAGTCCCCGAGGGAATTTCGTGATCCCACAGCCTGGAAAAGGGCTGCACGAACGCCATTCCGACTGACACATGCCTCTGAGACTTTGAC